TAGATCTAGTGTTAGTTCTAGTTTTACACTAGCACTGTTACTATGTAGAACTAACACTATACCTAGAACTAGAATCATTTGGGTTTAGCCACACGTCTCTAAAGACGGCTAAACCCGAATGATTCTAGTTCTAAGTATAGTGTTAGTTCTAGTTTTATACTAGCACTGTTACTATGTAAAACTAACACTATACTTAGAACAAGAATCATTTGGGTTTAGCCGCACGTCTCTAAAGACGGCTAAACCCGAATGATTGTAGTTCTAGGTATACTGTTAGTTCTAGTTTTACACTAGTACTGTTACTATGGGGCCGGTTGTACAATATACCGATAAACTTCCCGACAGCGTTATCTGGCAGATAAGTTAGTTTGTACTGTATTACAATGTACGGATATTTTTGTCGGTGAGATTATCGGCAGGATAACTTATCGGGTACTCAGTGGTGCCGATAAGATACTTATCCGCCAGATATTTATGGTTACCAAGGTTTTTATATAAAAACTTTGTATGCTTACTGCATAGGTTAACCTATAGCATTAATATACAGGGTGTCTCCGAAATGCGTGTACAACGGAAGACCAGAGATTCCTTGGCTCAAAATAGGTCGATTTAAGTTAAGTTATCTATATTCAAAGTTGCTTCGTTTCGCCGTTAGAGAATTTCAAAGTTAGCAAAAAAAATTCTTTTTTTTTTTGTATATATATGTAGCTATATGTACGATGTGTCAGTTGTCTGTCGTGAAAATTTTTTTAAACAATTATTATTGTCAAAATCATAATTCAAACTTCAAAGAAAGACGTTAGCGTTACCATTCCACAGCATAAATCACTAGATATGGGGAAAAACTATTACCAACCGACTTTTATTTCGCCGATAGCAATCTAATATATCTTTATCTTCCTGATAAGTTTATCGGCCGGATAGATATCAGGTAGATTTATCGGTATATTGTACAACCGGCCCCAAAAACGATAAAATCTCGCTTCCAATTAAAATTATTAATTAATAAATAAAAATTTTCTTGTTTAGGTGGTCTTTTACGTCAACTTCCTCCCGAATCGACTAAAATGGGATCGATAACCCAAGGAACCCCAATTCACGTCCCACACCAAGACAAACGCATCTACGACCCTTATTTTACCACGAAACGACCTCCAAACCCCACCCAACAATACCAACCAAACCACCAATATCGCACCGCCCCCTACTCGGTGGAACACCAATTAAGTAACCGACAAATAATTATGACCGATTACATAACCTCACAACATATGCCGGGGAGGCGCCCCGAAAAACAATATTACCCGTCGATGAGAACCCCGCCACCGCCCACCGCTCAAGTCGTTCAGTCCCAACAACAAAGACAAGGAGTGATTCAAAGACACAATACGAGGCCGCATTACCCGCCGCCACCGCCCGGACACGAAGCGCTAAATTCTTTGGTGGATATCGCGGTGCAACAGCCGAGTTTGCCCGTTCCGAATGCGCCGCCTCACGAGGGGTTGGGAAAAACGATCGCGGATAATATTTTGGAACAGCCGCATCGGTATATGTTGCAACAACAACAACAGTTGAGGCAACAACAACAGCAACAACATCAACACCAACAGCAAAGAATTGAAGCTGAGAGGAGGTAAATTAATTTTATTCAAGTAATTCATTAATTAATTAATTTTTAAAGTAAGTAATTTTTAAAGTTGTTTCTTTTTTGAGTATTAGACCACTGCCTCGGCTTCTTAATAATGGAGATGTATTCAAGGAAGTTATACTACCAGATCTTGAATACGTGAACTGTTGCCTCAGTAGCATAACTGCCTCTACTTATAAATAATAAATGTCCGTTATGAAGTGCCACTATTACCTGTTTCTTTTTTGAGTGATTAATTCATTGCCTCGGCTTTTTTTTTAGTAATGGAGATGTACTAAAAGAAGTTATACTACCTTGAATCTTAAATATGTTAACTGTTGCCTCGGCTTCTAACTAATAAATGTGCCTTATTAAGTGTCACTACAGGTTTCTTTTTTGAGTAAATAGACCATTACTTCGTAGACAGCTACCTCAATTTCTTAATAATGAAGGCGCATTAAAAAAAAAGCTTGCCTACCTGGTCTAAAAGAACATTTGAACTGTGCCTCAATAATATAGCTGCCTCACTCTGTAGGTACCTTTTTAAAATAATTATAACACTGTCCTAATCACAATCTGGCAACATCAATTAATTAACCTCAATAAAATTAATATTGTTATTTAATTGATGTTTTTGAAATTGTTAATTAATTAATGCTGAGGTTATTAATTAATTAAATTAAAATAGCAACCTCAACAATACCGACATTGTGAATTAATTAATGTTGTTAAAGTTATTTATTAATTAATTTTTAGTAATTATGAATTAATTAATATTGTTGAGGTTGTTAATTATTAATAGCAATCTCAATTAATTAACAACATCAATTAGTTAACAATCTCAACAACATCAATAATTAATAAACTCAACAAAATTAATTAAGTAGCAAGCTCAACAACATTAACACTGTTAGTTAATAGTAAATTAATGTTGTTGAGAGTGTTAAATATTGATGCTGTTAATTAATTGAGATTGTTGAGGTTGCTATTAATTAACAACCCCAACAACATTAATATTGTTCATTAATTAATATTGATAAAGTTGTTTTTTAATTAATTTTTAGTAATTATGAATTAATTAATATTGTTGAGGTTGCTATTAATAATTAACAACTTCAATAATCTCAATTAACAACATCAAATAATTAACAAACCCCAACAACTTTAATATTGTTAGTTAATTAATGTTGTTGAAGGTGAATTAATTATTTTTCTTAATTCATAAATTACTTAATATTGCTAAAGTTGCTATTAATTAACAACCTCAATTAATTGACAACCTCAATAACATTAATATTGTTACTTAATTGATGTTGTGGAAGTTGTTAACCAATTAATGTTGAGGTTATTAATTAATTACTGTTGTTGAGGTTGCTATTAATAATAAACAACCTCAACAATCCCAATTAATTAACAAGATCGATTAATTAACAACCCTAACAACATCAATAATTAACAATCTCAACAACATTAATTAAATAGCAACATCAACATTGTTAGTTAGTTAATTAATGTTGTTAAAGTTGATTATTAATTAAGTTTTAGTAATTATGAATTAATTAATATTGTTGAGGTTGCTATTAATAATTAACAACTTCAACAATCTCAATTAACAACATCAAATAATGAACAAACCCAACAACTTTAATATTGTTAGTTAATTAATGTTGTTGAAGGTGAATTAATTATTTTTCCTAATTAATAAATTACTTAATATTGTTAAGGTTGCTATTAATTAACAACCTCAATTAATTAACAACCTCAACAACATTAATATTGTTACTTAATTGATGTTGTGGAAATTGTTAACCAATTAATATTGAGGTTATTAATTAATTAATGGTGTTGAGGTTGCTATTAATAATGAACAATCTCAATTAATTAATAACATCAATAATTAACATTCTCAACAACATTAATTAAATAGCAACCTCAACAACATCGACATTGTTAGTTAATTAACATTGTTAAAGTTAATTATTAATTAATTTTTAGTAATTATGAGTTAATTAATATTTTTGAGGTTGTTAATTATCAATAGCAATCTCAATTAATTAACAACATCAATTACTTAACAATCTCAACAACATCAATAATTAATAAACTCAACAAAATTAATTAAGTAGCAAGCTCAACAACATTAACACTGTTAGTTAATAGTAAATTAATGTTGTTGAGAGTGTTAAATATTGATGCTGTTAATTAAGTGATATTGTTGAGGTTGCTATTAATTAACAACCCCAACAACATTGATATTGTTCATGAATTAATATTGTTAAAGTTGTTTATAAATTAATTTTTAGTAATTATGAATTAATTAATATTGTTGAGGTTGCTATTAATAATTAACAACTTCAACAATCTCAATTAACAACATCAAATAATGAACAAACCCAACAACTTTAATATTGTTAGTTAATTAATGTTGTTAAACTTGATTATTAATTAATTTTTAGTAAATATGAATTAATTAATATTGTTGAGGTTGCTATTAATAATTGACAACTTCAACAATCACAATTAACAACATCAAATAATGAACAAACCCAACAACTTTAATATTGTTAGTTAATTAATATTGTGGAAGGTGAATTAATTATTTTTCTTAATTAATAAATTACTTAATATTGTTAAGGTTGCTATTAATTAACAACCTCAACAACATTAATATTGTTACTTAATTGATGTTGTGGAAGTTGTTAACCAATTAATGTTGAGGTTATTAATTAATTAATGTTGTTGATGTTGCTATTAATAATGAACAACCTCAATAATCCCAATTAATTAACAAGATCGATTAATTAACAACCCTAACAACATCAATAATTAACAATCTCAACAACATTAATTAAATAGCAACCTCAACAACATCAACATTGTTAGTTAGTTAATTAATGTTGTTAAAGTTATTTATTAATTAATTTTTAGTAATTATGAATTAATTAATATTGTTGAGGTTATTAATTATTAATAGTAACCTCAACAATCTCAACTAACAACATCAAATAATGAACAAACCCAACAACTTTAATATTGTTAGTTAATTAATGTCATTAAAGTTGATTATTAATTAATTTTTAGTAATTATGACTTAATTAATATTGTTGAGGTTGCTATTAATAATTAACAACATCAAATAATGAACAAACCCAACAACGTTAATATTGTTAGTTAATTAATGTTGTTGAAGGTGAATTAATTATTTTTCTTAATTCATAAATTACTTAATATTGCTAAAGTTGCTATTAATTAACAACCTCAATTAATTGACAACCTCAATAACATTAATATTGTTACTTAATTGATGTTGTGGAAGTTGTTAACCAATTAATGTTGAGGTTATTAATTAATTAATGTTGTTGAGGTTGCTATTAATAATACACAACCTCAACATTTCCAAATTAATTAACAAGATCGATTAATTAACAACCCTAACAACACCAATAATTAACAACCTCAACAACATTGTTAGTTAATTAATATTGTTAAAGTTATTTATTAATTAATTTTTAGTAATTATAAATTAATTAATATTGTTGAGGTTGTTAATTATTAATAGCAACCTCAACAATCTTAATTAATTAACAACATCAATAGTTAACAATATCAACAACATTAATTAAATAGCAACCTCAACAACGTTAGTTAATTAATATTGTTTAAGTTGTTTATTAATTAATTTTTAGTAATTATGAATTAATTAATATTATTTTTTGGTTGTTAATTATTAATAGCAATCTCAATTAATTAACAACATCGATTACTTAACAACCCCAACAACATCAATAATTAACAAACTCAATAAAATTAATTAAGTAGCAACCTCAACAACATCAATAATTAACAAACTCAACAAAATTAATTAAGTAGCAACCTGAACAACATTAACACTGCTAGTTAATAGTAAATTAATGTTGTTGAGAGTGTTAAATATTGATGCTGTTAATTAATTGAGATTGTTGAGGTTGCTATTAATTAACAACCCCAACAACATTAATATTGTTCATTAATTAATATTGATAAAGTTGTTTTTTAATTAATTTTTAGTAATTATGAATTAATTAATATTGTTGAGGTTGCTATTAATAATTAACAACTTCAATAATCTCAATTAACAACATCAAATAATTAAAAAACCCCAACAACTTTAATATTGTTAGTTAATTAATGTTGTTGAAGGTGAATTAATTATTTTTCTTAATTCATAAATTACTTAATATTGCTAAAGTTGCTATTAATTAACAACCTCAATTAATTGACAACCTCAATAACATTAATATTGTTACTTAATTGATGTTGTGGAAGTTGTTAACCAATTAATGTTGAGGTTATTAATTAATTAATGTTGTTGAGGTTGCTATTAATAATACACAACCTCAACATTTCCAAATTAATTAACAAGATCGATTAATTAACAACCCTAACAACACCAATAATTAACAACCTCAACAACATTGTTAGTTAATTAATATTGTTAAAGTTATTTATTAATTAATTTTTAGTAATTATAAATTAATTAATATTGTTGAGGTTGTTAATTATTAATAGCAACCTCAACAATCTTAATTAATTAACAACATCAATAGTTAACAATATCAACAACATTAATTAAATAGCAACCTCAACAACGTTAGTTAATTAATATTGTTTAAGTTGTTTATTAATTAATTTTTAGTAATTATGAATTAATTAATATTATTTTTTGGTTGTTAATTATTAATAGCAATCTCAATTAATTAACAACATCGATTACTTAACAACCCCAACAACATCAATAATTAACAAACTCAATAAAATTAATTAAGTAGCAACCTCAACAACATCAATAATTAACAAACTCAACAAAATTAATTAAGTAGCAACCTGAACAACATTAACACTGCTAGTTAATAGTAAATTAATGTTGTTGAGAGTGTTAAATATTGATGCTGTTAATTAATTGAGATTGTTGAGGTTGCTATTAATTAACAACCCCAACAACATTGATATTGTTCATGAATTAATATTGTTAAAGTTGTTTATAAATTAATTTTTA